CGGCAGCTGCTAAGAGAAAAACACTGCCATGATCTACACTTGGCAAACCTTTCCAAACACTGTTTCTAAGTGAGTAAATACTAAGAGAATTTTTATATTCAGTAGTAAACAAATCAAAAATGCTTCAGAATTAATATCAGCTAAACTAGCTGCCACATTTGTATGAAGTAAATAACATAGCTTAACCCTGCACTAATTCAGTTATTGTACTTTAGACATTCCAAAACTTATCAAAGAAGCTGACATATTGAAACATAACAATTTCAGGATCCCTTCCTGTATAAAAAAAATGCTACCAGGAAATTTTAAACCTTTCTGGTTTTAAAGAATTAGACGAAATTCCCAGTGTAGGTTGAATTCTGAAATCAGATTATCTTCAAACGCAGAATGTACCAGGAACATTTTGGAGAAAAAATAGCTTCATAAACTCAGAGTCAGCTTCCATAAACTCAAGACTCAATTTTATTTAGAATATAAAAATCATAGAAACCAGGTTTTCAAAATTATAGTGCTGAAAAATCCAGTTACAATATTAATGAAATAATAATAATAAAGAAGACTGAAGTGAGAAAATAGGTAGGGATTTAAAATGTCACAGTCTGACATTTCCCATAATAAAAGAGCATAAGTTGAAGGTGATATTAGTGGAAGCAATGATTTTGAGTCTCCAAAGAGAGTTCATTAAACAATCTTCGCTTACATCTGAATTTATGTAAAAAGCAAAGGCCTGGAAGGAGAGCTGGATGACTTTCAGGATCTTAGACTTCCAGTTAGGAAAACCTTACCAAGAAGAGACAGGAAAGGACTTTGCTCAGAGTTGGAGACGAGGATTTGTTTGCAGATGTTAATTGAAATAAATTGTGCAGAAAAACTAAGGAAGGGAAATGCTTTCCTAGAAGTGAATTACTTCTTGGTTAAACACTGTGCATTCATTTTTGGTTTGGGCCTTTTCCAAGAAAATGTGCCAAATATGGTAACAAGCACTGAAGCTGGGTAACAGCTAGGATCTGATAATCACGATATGACCGGAGCAGAGATGCTGAAGTATTAAGCATGGCAAAACAACAAGCAAAACAAAGGCTTCCACCAGAAGCAAATCTGAATCTGAAGATAAGATAACCAGAAAGAAATCTGACTTGCAAGTTTACAACCTGCAGTAATAGAGCGTATGAATCAAGGGACCAAGAAAGAAAAAGACTTCTAGTCTCACAGGGGCGATGTCTAGAAGGGGAGAATATAATTCAGCATAGAAACACTGCGCTGTACCTTAGTAAAGGTCCTCTGACACTAAATCTAACAAAGATGATCTGATAACTTCTCAAAATTGAAATAGAAGTTTACGTTTATCTTCACTGACATTTGCTACATGCAGTCTTCTTTGGAGTGAGTGAAGATGTGGTAGCTGTTCAAATCAATTTGTTGGAGAGCTCAGAGTCAGGCTGTACAACAATCGACGCAGGAATTCAAAGTAAGCTCCCAAAGTACTGTCAAGCTTTCCAGTTCTAACTATGAGGACATTTTCAGAGCAGCAAAAGAGATCTGAATTTACACCACAGAATCATCAAAAATGCTTTGGGTTGGAAGAGACCTTCAGAGGTCATCTAGCCCAAACCCCCTGCAGCGAGCAGGGAACCATAGTCCTGACTCTCCTAAGCTGAGACTCCTGCACTAATAACAAGCAACCCTTTGCGCTCAATTCCTTACTTTTCCTCTCAGCAGCCCAGTTTGTGTCTTTATTCTTTATCATCACAACATTTTGCCCCATTCCTAAGGCAGGATTCACTGAACAAACACCTTCCTTTTAAGGCAGCAACTGAAACCAAGCAGCAGCACCACCAGCTCAGAGCCCTCCTGGGGCATCAGCAGAGGCACACAGGGATGACGTGCACGGTGTCTCCTCTCGTGCATCCCAAACCGACTCACCATCTTAGTTTACAAAGCACAAGCATAGCTCAAGCAGCCGACTTCAACCCTAGAGAGTCACAGACTGGAGGTCTGAAGACCGCAGGTTGCACACCCACAAACTGGACAACTTCAGGAATATTATTTTACCTGCTTAAAAATATTGGTTAGAAATCAGGCAATTTTTAGTCTAATGTGGGAGAAGCTCTTAGGAGCTTATATATCAAGGAATTATTATGCACATCCCACTATCACTATTCAGTGAAAAACTGGCAGCATCTACTGTGTGAACCCAACGTTTCTGAGGGGGTAAGGGGAGTTTTCCAGATTTATCAGAACGGCCTGGACAAACGGGAACGTTGCCAACATTTACCATTTCATTTTCCTTTAAATGGGACTGGCAAGCTCTTTGACTAATGGAATGAACCAGAGATACGTTACAAAAGGTTTAATAGGGAGTTCCCTAGACTTTTCCAGTTGTGTCAGCACAGTGAGTACGTCCAGCAAGACGCATCTCCCAAACAACCCAGAACTTCCACAGCTGGCTCCCCCGCATCCTCCACATCCATCAGTCTCTGGCTCCCGCCTCTCAGCTCGCAAGGGTCTCTCTGCCACAGCGGCTGGTGGGTGCTGCTGTCTACAGCTCCCTCACTGTGCAGCTGCGAGACAGGCAGCAGAGACAAACCAGCCCGTGGCCTCGGGCTGCCGTCTGAGAAGGGCACCTATACTGCAGCAGTGCCAGCAGCAGTTAAAACAACAGCTGAGCACACCCACTCTTCATCCAGTTAAGGTGTAGTACATGCAGTTTATGCCTTCAAAGGTAAGAGTAAAAAAGTTTCAGAGCTCACCTTTCCTTCAGTTACAAACCAATCACCTCCTTCACTCTGTGTTATATCTGGAGCAGCATCGTGAAGAGACTTGAATCCCATTCATTTGGAAATGAGATTTTACCCTTTTGTTCAGCTCTGAAATTAATTTTATCTTCCCTTAATCAGTGCTTCTATTTAGGGCATAACGATGTTCCCAACTTGCTGTACTTCAAATTAAGTATTTTTCTTATGGTGTTCACTGAACAAGAATCAGTGCAGTAAAATCCAGCTGTGCCACAGAACCATAGACAGGTGGAGGCCAGCAGGAACCTCTGGAGATCATCCAGTCCAGCTCCCTGCTCAAAGCACGGTCACCTACAGCAGATTGTTTGGGGCCATGTCCACTGGGGTTCTGAATAGCTCCAAGGATGGAGACACCACAACCTCTCTGGATAACCTGTGCCAGTGCTTAACCACTCTGAGAGTAAAAAAGTTTTTTGTTATGCTTAAATGGAATTTTTCACATTTCAGTTTCTGCCTATTGTCTCCTGTCCTGTCACTGAGCACCACTGAGAACAGGCTGGCTCCATCTTCTTTACCTCCCCCATCAGGTACTTAGACACATGGGTAAGATCTCCCTGAACCTTCTCTTCTCCGGGCTGCACAACTCCAGCTCGTGCTGCCTCTCCTCGCGTATCAGAGGCTTCTTTCCTAATCACTTTTGTGGTCTTTTGTTGGACTCACTCCAGTGTGTCCATCTCTCTCTTGTACTGGGGAGCCCCGCACTGGACCCAGCACTCCAGGTGTGCCTCCCCAGTGCAGAGGGGACGGATCGCTTCGCTTGACTGGCCAGCAGTATTCCTCCCAGTACAGTGCAGGAGGCTGCTGGCCACCTTTGCCATCAGAGCAGTTTGCTGGCTCACGTTTACCTTGCTGACCACCAGGACTTTGCTACCAAGCTGCTTTCCAACCAGTGGGTCCCCAGCCTCTCTGAGTGCGTGGGGTTGTTCCTCCCCAAGCGCAGGACTTTGCCTTTCCCTTTCTCAAACTTCACCAGATTCCTGTTTGCACACTCCTCCAGCCTGCCCAGATCCCTCTGAGTGGCAGTACACCCACCTGGTGTATCAGCCACTCCTCCCAATCTGCTATCTGCAAATGTGTGAAGGGTGCACTCTGTTTCACCAGCAACGTCACCAACAAAGACCTTCGGTAGTGCTAGAGTCAGTATTTACTCCCAGAGTACACCACTAGAGACTGGTCTCCAGCTGGACTTCGTGCTCCTGATCATAACACTCTGAGCTCAACACTTCAGCCAATTTTCAGTCCACCTCACTGTCCACTTATCTACTCCATATCTCACCAGTTTGTCAATGAGGATGTTATGAGAGACACTGCCAAAAGCCTTACTAAAGTCAAGGCATACAACACCCACTGCTCTTCCCTCTACCTCCAATGCAGTCACCTCATTGTAGCAGGCCATTAGGTTGGTCAAGCATGGACTGACCAACCTAATAAGGGGATTTCATAAATCCATGCGGAGTGCTCCCAATCACCTCCTTGTCCTTCATACATTTAAAAACAGTTTCCAGGATTATTTGCTCCATCAGCTTCTCAGACATTGAGGTGAGGCTGACTGGCCTGCAGTTTCCCAGGTCCTACTTATTGCCATTCCTGAAGACAGGAATGAATCTGGCTTTCTTTAAGTCCTCAGAACCTCCCCTGACTGCCACAACCTTTCAAAGAATTGAGAGTGGTCTCACAGTGACATCAGCCAATGATGCATCCCATCCTGTCCTATGGACTTGTGCATGTTCAGTTTGTTCATATGTTCCCTGTCCCGATCCTCCTTCACAGAGGACAGGTTTTCATTGCTCACGACTTTCCAATTGGTCTCAGGGGCCTTGGATTCTTGAAGGCAAGTTTCACCAGTAAGGACCAAAGCAAAGAAGACCTTAAGTATTTTGGCCTTTTCCATGCCCTTTGTCACCGTCCCCTGCCCCATTCAGCAGTGGGCCCACATTTTCCCTAGTTTTCCTTTTGCTGCCAATGTGCCTGTAGAAGCCCTTCTTGCTGGCCTTCACATTCGTTGCCAGATGCAATTTCAGATGTACTTTGGCTTTGTAACTCCACCTCTACATGCTTGGACGGTGTCTCTGTATTCGTACAACAAATATTTCCCACATATAGCTACTACATGAGCTTACAACAAAACTCCTTTTAAAAAAGCAAAGAACAGAACCAGCCATTTCAAATTTTCATTCCAACACTGTGGTCTTCAGTTCTACTTACCCGATCTATAGCGCTCATCCCGTGACCCTGAGGACCTGCGACGGTGGTATCGAGAGGAAGAGGACGGAGTAACAGGAGTTCGACGTTCTTGTGGCAATGCCTGGTCCACTCCTGCATTAATAAAACAAAAAACCACAAGCTCATTCTGATTGAATTCCAGAAGTTAATAGTTTGGAGGAGTTCAGCCTATACTAGAAGTAGAAAATCAACATTCAGTGGCTCAACCATATCATGCTAGTTGGTTCACAATACTTGCCTCTGGTCAGCTTTTCCAGTATGGTATGTGACCTTTTATAAAGCAGTATTCAGGAAATATTTTAATATGTGCTAAAAAAAGGCGGACACCATTGAAATCGATCTTGAAGCTTTCCTGCAAATTGGTTGAAAACAGTTCCTACAAAGACTTAGCCAGTCCGTATTATCTAAAACCTCACGCGGCTGGACGATACCAGCTGGTGACAACACAATACCAACCTACGGAAACCAGACACCCAGTGGTAATGGAACTATACCAATATCTACAGGCATTTTCAGCTACCAGGGGCCAGAAAGTAAGCAATAACTGCACCAAACCAGGCTGAAAATAGTAATGTGTTCCAGCAAAACAATAACAAGAACCCAGCCTTATAATATATATACCTGCAGCATGTCAGTATGCCAGGCCTAAACATCCAGTGTTTAAGATGCAAACCTTGTATTCATCTCCTTCTCATAGTGAATTTGCTTTTTGTAAAAAATCGGTATTTTCTTCAATGCTCCTTCAACGACAGTAGTGGTATAACAGCAGCATTGTATATAAACATTTCTACAAACTAATGTTCCTTGACAACATCCAGAGAAGAGCGAAGTGAATTACTTAAGCAGGAAAATTCAAACAAACAACAGGAAAAGAAAGCAAACCTGCATTTGTAACAGCGGCATAATATGTTACCCTGCTCTCTTCTAGAGAAGACCCTGAGCAGACAGGCCCAGTAAAAGATGCATTCAGCTTAGGATTACTACAGCACACAGCCTTAGGCACTGTGATGCACAGGGGCAAAAAAACCAAGAGTATCTAAAGAAATGAAATGAATTCTTTCCTATTATTTTTTGCCTTAAAAAAATAGTTACACACTATGTGTAACTGTAAGGACAGAAGTAAAACTGGCCTCTTGCACTTAGGGTTGACAGTAGGAAAAGATCTGTTAAAATTAGTTAATTAAATGATTAATAATTAAATATTCAAATGGATGACTAATAAATTGAAATTGGATTCAGCAAAACAATGCTTGGAAATATGTTCATACTTTTCTATTAAAACAGAATGTAGAAACTCCCCACTACTATTTCTAAACTATTGAATGCCTGCTTATTGCAGAGGGTAAGAGTTTCTGTTTGTGGAAACAAGAATTTTTATGTACAATACAGACCAACGGAAAATGCCACAGTGACTTCAATCAGTCTCGATTTTGTTTCAGTGGGACTCATTAAAAAGCATCTTTTAAAAATTATTGGCATTGTACACTTATTTCTTTGTGAAAATAAACTGAACTCAAAATACAGCTTCTCAAATCTTTGGAATATCAGCAATGACAAGTCTGCTTTGATTTTGTGGAGAAGTGGCTGATTAGCTAAAAAACGCACTTGGAGTAAAATCTCACAGGTGCATAAAAGACAGAGTGAATCAGTAAATTTTCTTCTACTCAGATTATAATTCATACTCTTAAATCAAATAAAATGTCTTCATTTTACCACTCTGTCTCCACACTATAGTACCGTGTAATTTCACTTGCCCTCAAGCCTTTATATTCTTTAAGGCAGGTGAACCTAACTTCTGAATCACTGAAATAATCAGAAGAAATATTTTCTCCTCATTTGTTTATTTAGAGTTTTTCCTTCTTTACTGGGTCACCCTGAGAACCAGCAATGTAAAGTTAACAATAAAATTAATCTTGATCGAAAATTTTCAAAAAATGGCGTTTCAGCCTGTAGGAGATGCTAACCACCATCATTCATCTCAGTCCCTACCCATAACGTCAGGAAGGAAATACTTTCTGGAAATCACATGTATTTACAAAAACCCTAAAAAACACACACTCAATAAGTGTACACCTAAAATTGCTGCTGCTTGACAGAGGTTTTGTGAACAAAGCAGTGCCACCACGTCCCATGGCCAATGACCTGCGTAGGGCAGCGGCGTGTGGAGAAGCACAAACAAAACCAATTGAGGTGTTGCTACTGAAGTACAACGTCATAATTATACAGGAAAAGGGGATTAAATGCATCCTTCCAACAACAAAACCACATGCAATAGGCTTTAGAAGCACTGAGGGGAAATTAAATTGTGAGGAAAAGCATCGGTTTCAGAGGTGTGCAGCTGCTGCAGGAGGGAGACCTGTTGGGTACACCTGAAAGCCATTGGAGAAACTGCATTCAAGCCCGTGGTTTCCTTCTCCTGGCCATTTGGCTATGAGACAGCTCAGGTGTCTGAGTCTCTTCTTCTGCAGCTGTGGGCAGCACACAAAGCTCTTTTTCAAGGTGTAAAAAACACCATGTACGTAAGGTAACCCCAAACACTGAGCCTGACGTTGCAGAAGACCACCAGACGCCCAACTGGCCAGGCAGCACTGCCAGCCCCGGCACTCCCTAGCACTGCACAGGGCTCTTCCCTCCTCCTGGTCACCGCGGACATCAAGCTGCTACTTGTTCTTACTACAGATACAGAAATCTCTCCTCTAATCTTAAAACTGAGACACTTCAGCTTACCTCCCTCCTCCTTTGCAGACGTGTGGTTGTCCTTTTAAGTCAGTCTGTTCCGACACGATGGGTAATACGGAGTTTCTCCACACAGTTAGGAAAGGACAGCCCCAACATGCTGCACTAGTAGTCATTTAAGGCCATAGCAAACTAAACGAGAGTATCAACATATCTTCTGCTTTTATGAGGTCCGGGGTCATTTGATGGCTTTACTTCCCACTTTCCCATGAATATAAAAACATTGAATAAACCTCTACCAAAGTGCAGAGCAGGATGCGCGAACTCAGCTCACCAACAGCACCGATTTGCACGCGGAAGTTAATTCTGCACTGAAATACAGAGAAGCAGCTCTCCATCAGCTGTCTGCGGGGAGACCTCTCTCTGTACTAAGTTCCTTTACCATGAGAACATACAAAGCATCTCCCCGCTTTGGAGAGACGGTAAGAAACCCGGCAACGGCTCCTTTCCGCAGGGGCTGGCGCAGGAATCAGCTGGCACCGCCTGGACGCACACCTTTGCTTCCCGAGCACCCACACCCTCGCGCAGCACCAGCAATGGCGTGAGACAAAGCACACAACAGCGGGAACCTCGACGCTGCCGCTCCTGAGCGATGGGCAGGAGTAAAAGCCATACAGAATAATGAATACCATGAAATCAGTGAAGTGTTGCCATAAATAGCGAAGCGGTGTTAAGAGCAGAATTGTTCACCTCCACACAGGCTCTAGCAATGCAGTGCAGTAACAAGCATCATTTTTTTCCACTTCTAAACACAACTAAATCCCCAAAATTGATAGCTTTCACAGCCAGCACCCAGGGGCCATGAGTTAAGTGCTAATGCCTGTTCAAGTGCAGCTTCGCCCAGATGCATCTGTGAAGCGGTGGAAGTGGTGGCATAACAGGCTTGGAGAATTCATACCTGGATGGACTCCTGAATTTAAGGAGGTGGCAGAGCGATAAATGGCTTTTGTAAGAGAAAGGACAGTGTCACTCCAGTGCCTTGTGCACAGACACAAGCGCAGTCACTCTCAAACCAGCATCATTCTTAGTAACACCACAGCCTACCCCAGTCTTGCAGCTAAAGCAGGACTTTAAAAGGTAAGCGTAATTAGCACTAATGATTGACTCGTTACAGGTCATGAAGAATTTGAGCAAAATACATACACCTGGAACACAGCTATGTTATCTAAAAGGCTGAGAAATCAGTGCTTTACGCTCATCCCTCTGCACGTAAGCAAACAGCCACTTAATACAAGTATTCTTGAAGGTCCCTTCCAAATTCTTACCATTCTATGATTCTATTAGTTCGTTCACCTCATGCTGCTAATGGGGGATTCAGCTTGCAGATTAAGACACCTCTACTTAGGCGTCCACAAGAAGGCGCTTAAACTAATCCATCATGAAAAAGGCATGAAAAAGAGAGACCTAGGCCAGGACTTAGGAGTCTAAACAGAGTTGTCCAACGTCTTTTCAGATGTTGCAACCTATGACACCTGGCTTGGCCAGAATGGCACGTGTCCCCCCTAAGCCCTGTTTTACATGCGCTTGCGCAGTGCAGATGTCTCCGATACCATAGAAAATCCTGAACAGTAGTAGACACCTACCTTCAGGCAACTCCATAAGCCCAGTGGAGCCTGGAGAGTCATGTAGGTGTGGTCAGTGGAGGTATCTGATTTGGAATAAGCTGAAAAGCCCTCTGGGTTTCATCAACCCAATTAACTGTGTCTCTTCACATGAGAATGGGAGCTTAAATACCAGGTTCACAGGCAGAAAATTTAGTATATATCAATCTACAAATCCTAACCTGCAAGGTGGATCCTGCCTTGACTGTATTTAGCTAAAAATGCAAGAGCCTCGGTAAAGCTATTTAAGCAACACCACTGCAAGCTGGAGAGTTTTATTTTCAAGCATGTGGAAGGCACAAACCTGTCAGCTGGAAGCAGGCTTACCCTCCTTCCTCTTTTTTTTTTTTTTTGCCTTCACCTCTTTGTTCCTCCTTTCTTTATGACTTCTTTTTGCAGCTATGTGCCAATAACATGGCAATAGCTGCATTGCCCTGTCCACCACAGGACAATTGTTTCCTTAATGACAGCTGACATGTTGCTTAGATGTATCTTATTCCTATGTCTGTGTCCAGTTTTTGAATCTAAAAATATTTAAAAGCTGAAATGTCTAACTGACAAGAAATAGAAGGCATTCTTAGACACATGCTACATTTCTCATTCTAAAACTAATGTACAGCATGTGCCCCCAGGAGAGAGCTGTAGGATAAACCCAGCAACACCAGGGTTAGTGGCAAGGAAGGCAAACAGTGCTTGGAGCGCAATTTTAAGAAACAGTGTTTACCTTTCATTCAAAGTATTTCCTGAGCTTCTGCGCAACGGCTCGTAGCTCAGCTTTAAAAGCAAAGCCAGGTGATGAACACACCGTGTATTTTGTAAACAGGTTAAATGTCACACCATCCCTATGGAACTTGTTACCTAGCGTGGCATTTCACTCTTCCCACCAAACATACATCTAAGTAACGAACTCACTGGATAAGCCAAAGGAGATTTAAAAGGCAATACTCCTAACCAAAGACATCCAGGAAAGTGGAGCCACTTTCTGCTAGGTAAATCTGAAGAAAATGGAATTTCTGATTAGGCATGTTTAATTAACGATCTTCTCACAGGTGAGCTTTCACACTTGGTTCTCATTTCGAACAATGCATCTTCTTTCCTTATTACAAACTCGATTTCACCTTCCAACACTTCCTTGCAAGCTTTAGCTTTCAGTTCAAGCTTACCTTGAACTCAACACATTACAGCTCCAAGTCACATGCGATGAACGAGTTCCATTTTCCCATAGACAGTCCCACAGATTTAGTGTACCATTTGAAGATTCTTACAGGAGAATAGGTAGAAAAAGGCCACCTATCCACACAGGAAACCCATTCACCAACGTGCTGGTCAACCTACACTGCCAGCAGTTTACCATTCATCCTTCAGAAATTTGCTGCAGATAAATTCAGTCAGCAAAGTGAATTCTAGCAGTTTCTCATTTTGACAGTGGCACCCAGCTCTTCAGATGCCTCCACTGGCTCCATCTCCTCTGTTCCAACACAGGCAAGCTTTGTTTCAAGGCCCTCAGTGGTATCTCTCCTTTCTATCTGCCATTGCTTGCCTCTGACTGAGCCATCTTTCCTCACCCATTTGTCAGATTTCTAGAACATCTTCATGTTTCCTCCTGTGCTCTTATGTTTTACAGATGCTCTCCATGAACATCGACAGACATTTTCATGAAATTCTTCAAATTCTTTGAAAAACACCTCAACTCTAATGTGTACTAAAAATATCCTCCCCCAAAAAACCATCACATCGAATGCTGAAACCACTACCCGCACTACTGATTGCATCACGTACTTGTTTCTTCCCTCACACCCCTATTTTGTCTTACAACTAGCGTGTGAAGTCTCTGAAGGAAGGTACCTTTTGTTCTGTGTGATGCTACGAGATCTTACTGCAGGATAGGCAGCAGAGGTGCCATCACAAAACAAAGAGTGTGTAAAACAATAAATGGGCCCTCACTCAGCATGGCAAAAACGAAGCAGTAACCATTGAGCTTTAAGTGATGGCATCAAGGGGTAGTTCTCAGACGCTTTCAGAACCTCCCCTTTTACCCAAACTAAGCTCTGCAAGGCATCCACCAAATCAAACCCAAACTCTTCTTTAAAAACAAGACTTACTAAGTACTCAACTGTGTGCCACAGTTTCTCATCTGGGCAACATCTGTCCCACTGTTTTCAGAAATGTGTCCATGAGTTGTGCAATGCCTATGCCTTTCAATGAGATCCATGTTCTCAACCTACATACATGCTCTGAAATGCCCCATCGTGGTTATTCTTTGATAAGATTTTTAAGAATTAGGAAGGCAGATGTGATAGTAGTACTTCTTGTTAATAAAGTGAACACGAGGGGTTTTTTTTCAATTCCAGAATCAAGCTTTGTTTAAACATTTCTTCGCAATCTTTGTAATCCAAACAATGTTGCAACCCAAATAATGTCTGTGGAAGAGAAAATGAAATTGTAATCGCCAAGTTTACTCTGAGTGCCCAATAGAAATGTATGTAAATATATACACATATTACAGACAGATATAAATATGCGTGTCATGTTAATAACAGAGCCTATGGAATTGGTTTCTGTAATTCGATAGCAAGTTGTTTCTTCATAAGGTAAAGGGATCTTCTATGTGAACTTACTATGCATTCTGCACTGCATAGCTTGAAATCATGCTGGTGCTGTTGGGGCTCCGGCAGCAGGAGAGGCAGTGATCTGTCTCTAGGCCCATGAAAGGAGCAGCAGGTGCCTTTTAAAGACTGCATCTCACAGGTTTATTAGCCATAATAAATCAAGCACTGGTGACTGGTCTACATGGTTATGCTACAAACAGAGCCACACTGGTGGTACCAATGATGGGAAATTACAGAAAGTAATCTAGTGTAGACGCAGCGCTTGATTAAGAGAGAATGAACCACCCATGTCTAAGCTGTTAGAAGCAAAGCTTAATTGATAACAACATTGTCTCTGTTCTGCGAATGAATAATCGAATTTCCTGGCAAAGGACTGGAAGCAAATGGGGGAAAAAACACAGCTTATGGGGGATGCAGGTAATTTAGTTATTTTTCTTCTAGGGAGGGTTTGTCTTCATAGCACGCACGCAGCTGTCCACATGTTATCTTACCCAGAACTGACTGATCTAATCAAGATAATCTTCAAAAAGATATTCTGAAATAAATGCCTGTTGAAGTGGTTATTCTTTTCAGCTCTTGGCTGTCATGGCTCCTCTCAGAGGCACTCAGAGAAAGGTCACAGCACAACAGAGACTGCGATATACATGCAGATCCAAAGGTCTGGATCCACTATTATTTTTAGATGTCTGACATACAGGCATGCGCACAGAACATCCCCAGCTACAAACTGACACCCTGAGACAGCGTTTCGAGGAAACAAAGCTGTACTTTTGTCTCCCTCAGTTAAAGCAGGTGGGGATTTAATGCGAAAGAAAAAGGGGGCTCCTCCTATCCCTTCTCCCATTAACATTGCCAAACGCAGCACATCCGTTCCGGATTTCTGGATGTTCGACAGCCCAGCTGGAACAGTACAAATGTCCTTTGCGTATGTGCAGTCTGTGCAGCATCTGGATGTGTCAGACCTACTGTGCATGCACTGCGGAGCCAACCTGCGGATGTGCAGCGGACCCAGCACGTCCCCCACGTGTCAGACTCACTGCGCGTTTGCTGTACAGCATATGTGACAATATACTCTCTGGGACTGTCCTGTCAAGAACAGGGAGCCTAAGAGTGAACTCCCACCTCACCTGGTGGACTATCAACCACATGGCTGCCCAGCTTCATCTCTCATTAATCCCATTCGTGAAAAGTAACAACTCTCCCTTTCTAAAATGACAGCATCCCAATGAGTACAACAAAAAGACCATACATGCATGCATGTTTATATATGCATATAGGCAATCCTGCTACTGCCTACCTTTAGCAATTACGTGACTTTATACCATTAATTCTGTTAAACCTGAAATTGCAATTTAAATTTAACCATTCACATTTTGCAAAAATCTTGGGCAGAGGAAGTTAATCATGTCAGACTGAGAGAACCTGACTCAGAGCAGCCCCACATAAGAGAAGAAATACAAATAACACAGGCAGAATCCAATACAGATCTCCTCTATAGCGTTACATCAAATTGGGTCAAAAATGAGTGTGGAAGGGTGTCTCAAAGGGATCACTTTTTTACAGGCATGTCTTGTCCCAACAGAACTGCAAATCCTATCTTCCCTCTTGCCATCTCTTACACTATGTCCGGAGTGCCTCGTGGGAGCTTGGACAAGCACACAGGCAAGAGCGTGATGTCTTCTATGTGCCCACATGGTTGGCAAGAGAAAATCTGGTGTCTTGAGGGGCTATGAACCCTCTGCAGCCTTGCTACAAACCCAGGAGCCGGAGCAGACTGCTGCCACCAGCCGCGGGTCACCCCCAGAAGGCAGGATGGGTGTCTGCTGAAGGGCACGGCTAGGCAGGCACGGCTGGGGTCACACCTGGCCTGCCCACACCGCAGACGTGCCGCCCTGCAGAATGTTCTTCCTCCAGCCTGCTCTACCAGCCTGGTGCCTCTTCCTAAAAGTCAGCCTGCTTCTGAATGGTTTGGACGTGAGTGGAGCTGAGGCGGAGATCTCTACTTGAAAATAGCACAGAATTAGGGGTGCCTAGAGTTTTACAGCTTCCTCCGGATTCTGGTGGGCTTGGACCTCTCCAGAGCTCTGTAAACAGGCAGTGCCAAAAAGGGAATTAGAAACACATGCTTTCCTGTTTTTCTCCAGTTTACTGTATGAAACCTCCTCTGAAGTATCCACGGTATGGAAGCTAGAGAGACATTAGCATGTTCAAATGTTACTGAGGACTATTCCTTCTCCCTTCCCACCACTCCAGTCTTAGGCAGACAAAAGTTGGCCATGGCCTTCCAGATGTTGTCCTGTGGTTGTCCTGCCTTGTCACTGGCAGTTCCTGGTCTACCATACTGATGTAGGTGTCTACCAGAGGCTTCCAGATGAGGCACGGTTACAGACAGATACGGACTGGAAAAGATACATTCATTGTGCTCACCAAAACGAAAATAAAAGAGAGGCCGGTTTCCTGCCGTGCTGGCTGCTCTCTCTCTAGCGGCCGCTTCCCGGATGTCACAGACACCAATGTTGGCAGTGCGGAGCATTCTTCTGGCAGCTCCTTCACTGTGTTGCAGTCTACACCGTACCGCGGCAGCTCCATTCGCTGCTGTAACAAGTTGAAAAAAACTAATTAATTCACGTTTAGTTTTTTTACATTTGTTACAGCGACGAGTGGAGCTGCTGCCCCCATGCAGTAGAGCACACACGCACACGCACGCACGCACAGACACCACAGGACACTCACGGAGCCCACGCGGGTCAGTGTTCCACTCTGCCAACATGGGCGTTAGGAATGTCAGCAAAGGTGCAGTGAGAGGACTGGACATCCCGACACAGGGGAACTGCCTTTGGATTTCCTTCAGTCTGTTGAATGCTGTCACACAACGCAAATCCCTGCCCTTCCCCAATGCCTCCAGTCCCAGCAAAAGAGCCATGTCCATTTCCACACAGTTTTCAAGTATCTCTAAAGCACCTATCCCCTTTCAATAGCAAGATCCAAGACCACCAAAGCTTACAAATTCATGCAGTTCCCCATCAAAACAGATTGCAACAAAAAAACAAATAACGAATTGGTCATGTACGTGATTGATTGTTCAGATATTAAGAGAGGCTTACAAAAGGCAGCATCTGTTTTGTTGCCCTATTTCTTCTTGGAAAGGATTCATCTCCCCCCTCCTAGTGAGCAGGGACCTCAAGACACTCAGATGAGCAAAGTCTTAGAAGAAGACTATCAAACTGAATTGTTCCAAGTTTTGTCCAAAAGGTAACACAACAAAACAAACAAAAAGTACAGAGACAGCAAAGACCCAAACACAAATAATTATCAGCTGCTGGAGGAAAATACTTCAATACAGTGGAAGCAGTATCTTCCACTATAACAAAACAACTCATTTAGCCATCAGCTAAATGACTGAGCTTGATGTGTGCGCAAGAAAACAGTGGACAATATTTCAATACTTTTTCTCTTCATCCTATTATAATCTTCCTTGACTCATCCATACCCCACATCCCAGTGTAGGATTTAATGGGAAGTGGTAGAGCAGAAAATGTTCACTCTGTTTCATCCCATCTTTAAAACAGCCCTAAATCAGCTACATCCTCAATCCTGACCTCTTATAATTATGGAACGGACTCCACTATAGGACTGGCTGACACTGGAAAACTTCAGTCTCACAACAGAGACCTTGAAAGACAAACCTCGGAGGGTTCTCCACCTTCTCTCTTTCATCATTACATGCCTGATGAATCCCCAGCAGTTTCAGCCATGAATACAGTTTGACCAGAAGACTATGAGCTTTCTGGAAAAAGAGCTGTATTTTCTTGTGTGAAGAAAAAAAAGGGACAACTAAGTGTATAAACAAATACTGGTACCAACTGCACCGCTGTGTTGAGGATTACTGCGGCAACAGTCTCCCTATAGCTCAGTAAACCTAAGTAGGTCTCATAAGAACATACTGAGAAGACTATGGTACGTCTGACAGTCTGGTCAGACCAATAAATACCCAGAAATTTAATAACTGCACCTCTGGTATTGTAATTCTGTTGATTTTATTTGTTTCATTCTCTAATGGCTCCCAATGGTTAGGAAATGTCAGAGACACCCTCAAATTGGGCTGTATCATTTCAGAAAATGGAGGTGTCTGTAACACTGTTATGTTTAGTGGAGTTCCCACCAGTGGAGCAGACCAAGTGAAATCCAAAGGCACAAAAATACCACTCTGCTATGGAGCTAGCTAATATATATATATACACCTGAAGAAGAGAGAACAAGGCAATGCCTCCACACTTGAGCAGTTAGAAAACCATCAACTCCACCATAAAGACAGGGTTTTGTAAAAGGAGGAGGAAAGTAGTTCCAAGGTCTGCTACAAAAGCAGGGCTCAGAGGACAGCCAAACCCAAATGGAGGTTTGGCAAGGTGAGTGAGATGCCATGAAACCATGGGGCATGCTCCTCTGAGGCCATCACAAAACGGAGGCCTACATCAACACTTACAACTACATATTCAACTTCATGAACCAATGCCTCAGAAGAGTGAAAGAACTCTGAAGAGTTTACATATATATATACATATATATATATATGAAAGTATTTCAATGAAGCAATACATTCTTAAATTTAATTTGAAGATCTCTTGACACCTTTTGGGCAAGTACAAGCAACCTATCCCTCAATGCTGAGACCAGGTGTCTATAAAGGATTGGTTGCCCACGTGTTATACGACAAGCTGATATCTAGGGATGTTGCCGGTCTCTCCAGTGTCTTCAACAGGGAGATTTGGGCAGGAAACCCAGAAATGGAGGAAGGTACAAAGCTCCAAGGTTCTCTTCCACTCTTGTGTACACCTCTGTTCAGAAAGCTTTACTTGGCTGAGATCTTAATGAGTTAGGACATCACGTTTTCCTCTGTATTTTTGCATTACTTGTAACAATCAATGCCTCTCTAATGAACCTAAGCTGATTTTCTTTTCCAGACATGACTGTCAAACCCACAGCAACATATGTAAAAAATGTACACACACATCAAAGCGGACATATATATAAAAGTATACATAAAATGGATGGAATAAGCTTTTTCTGCATAACAACAGCTTTGTTTCTGCCACATATGTTTCTTCACAGATGCGGATTTTTTCTGTGGCAACTATCAGTACACTTGACATCTTCATACATCGCAAGCACAGATACACGTACCGGGAGGCTGTGGCAGGTAGGCCCCAATTAATTTTGATCTCTTCTTTTCATATCCCTTCTGTGTGATGTCACCTGCCAAGAAAAGAAAAGGAAAATCAATAAGATGTGGATACAGACAGTGTCTAGCTGCTTAATGGCAGCCCCATCAGCTTAGCCACCACTGCTCTGTTTGTCTGTCTTGACAATTATAACGAAGAAATGAAAAGCACAGTATGATCACTCCAACTCAGAAAAAACTCATTTACGCCAGAGCCATTCTGACAAGTAAATACCCAGCCTTGATTTGTTCCAGCACCGGAGTCCAGTGGCACAGAGTTTTAAAACCATTTTGAGATGCTGTCACACAAGCTTTGAAAAGCTACAATGACCTTCATTAGGTTAATAAGCAATGGATTACATAGAGCGCGTGGGCCTGTGGTGGCTGGCAAAACACATGGCTGATTAGCATTTTCTATCATTAATGGGATTTTTCTAATCAAGCATGTAAGGCACAAAAGACTTGAAACTGCTGCTATATCATTTCTGCGATATAAATGCTTTAGCTGATTTCTAAGCAGTACTGAGAGAAACAAAACCAAACCAAAACAAATCTACCACAGACCCACTAGGAACAGCAGCATAAAGCCTCTTTGTCTAACTCTCCAATTCAATCTCCCCCCAAAAAATGCGGAGACAAATGTTTGAATTTCTTAAATTCAATTAATATGACCCTTCACTGTGTCTGCAGTTTCCTCAGGTAATTTTTTTAATGTATGGATAAAATAATATTTTTCTGTAAAAGTCTCCTAAAAGTAAGTGATGGATAATTAGATATGCAGAACAAAACATATACTTATTAGAGTTCAGGAGAGGTTTGGCACTGAAGTTGTGACACAATCCTGGCTCTGGAGCCCTAGATCTAGCTTTAATTGTTAAAATACTTGTTCAAATAGAATTCAAATATCCAGATTCTTCTTTCCAGCTGTGTGAGCACAGATGCAGACACACATACATATGTACTAAATTCAATACAAGCTACTTTGGATGCTAAAAAGAGGGCTAGGTTTCACAGTTAGAAGATTTTTGAAGTAAGACCATATTCCCTGCCCTTTCAACAAGCGTATCTGCTATCATGAGACTCATCATGCAGTTAAAAGTTCAGTTGCAACACTGGACTTCTATGTCTGTAAAAGGCCGAGGCCTTAGGAGGGCAGAAACCACAAAAAGCAGCGGAGCTTTGGAAGGAATGTTCAGCGAGATACAGCAACGCCTGTCTGTTCACGTTCCTCCATCCTGATGTTCAGCCTTCACCTAAGGAGACCATTTGCCAAGAGAACGGCACGTTTACTCCAATCCCAGCCACTCTGATAAATGGATGCTAAATTAGCACCAATGTACCAAGAGAGCTTCCCATGGGTTGGTCTGAAATCAATAACGACGGGAAAACACCTTCAAATGTTGTTTCTCGATAAAAGACCTTTTCTCGGGGATGGTTCCAACAAGCAATAAGGAGGCAAAACTCACCAAGCTTCTCTGGCAGTGTCCTGAGCCAACCTCCCATCCCTGGTTAAATCCAGTGCTTAAAGTAGCACCTATCCTCTTCACTACTGCACCTCAAACTGCCCGACAAAACACGTCAGCTAAAATATCTGTGTTTTCAAATGAGGAAAGTGAGAGCGAAGCACTTCAAATGATAACCGTCCCTTATTTACCCAGGGAAGAACTGGCAGACTTGGCAAGAGAACCCAAGCTTTTAAAGTTCAAACACACTGACTCTCCCAGCACATTTCTTCCCCTTTTGAACACTTCTGACATGTGTTCAAACCAGTGAAGCCAGCTCCCTCTCCACTGTAATCGCCAGCCTCTCACAAACCAGACAGTAACTGTAGATACCACTTCACTAAAATGTTTTAATGAAAAAATATGTTTATTTCTATTTGAAAACTATAAAATACGAACAAACTTTTCTCTTAAAGTTTTGCTAAACAAATTACCATTCATTTCCTGTGCTCATCAACACCAAATTCTTATGCATTCCAGACACTTCTTAATTTGAGTAAAAATTTGGTTTTCTTATGGTATTATTGGTCTTCAAGGAGAACAGAGATATCCTACGGAGAATCACAGCTCCACTGTGGTATGTGCAAGTTGGCAATGCCATTTTAAATATGAAACTATTAACAACAGGTGCTTAACTATTGGTTGCTCTTCCACAGACGGTAGTATATACACATGCAAACTGATATCTCAAGCTATACATTCTAGACATTGCTCATCCAACCTGCACCCGTTCCTGCAATATAAGTTTCTTCCACTAGTTTCTAAATCTATATTGTCTGTCCTTAACAAAAGAAATGCAGAGAACATGCAATTTCTTTGACACCAAAGTGGGAAAGATAAATATCAAATGTTATCTCTTTCATTCAAATCGGCATCCAGACTCACTCTTTTGAAGTTCACATAAAAGAATTATTCTGAGAAGAAACAATGGTGACTCCTTCCCCAGACCACTGTCTCCATCAAAAAATCACCAATATTTCTTTGAGACAATTTAATACGAAAATATTTCAACTTCCAGGAGCAAACAGCAAATTAATTTAGAAGTATCACCAATCTTTTCCATAACCATGTTCATCACTGCCCTGGTAACCAAATCTAAAAAGCATCTAAAATCAAAATATAAAATCACCAAAATTTTCATTTAGTATCACTATTACAATTCTGAGGTGGAAGGAAGTCAACTGCATCACGTAGTCTGGGGGAATACTATGCTTTACTTCTCAGGATTAATGGTATTTGTATTAATTTGTATTTTTTCAGGTAGACTGACTTCAGAATATGAACAATAACTGATTAACGATTAAAATATTATTACAATATATGCAAAACTACTGCATTTCAAAAATATGTTGAAATCCTTATGTAAGCTCCTAATATATACTAAACACAGCTCACCAGAAGTTAGGTGAGCTTAAACTCTGTTCTTATCCTAAATTACCAGTAATTCAATTTTTTAAACACGATATTCAGACCTTTGGTCTATGTCCTTTACTCCTTTGCAAATCAATGCAAAAATTTTGTGAGTATCATATGAGGAACAAACCCCTTTTCAGCTAGGTACACCTAAGTCATGCTCTTCCACAGTACAACATTGAATTTAGGCTCAGCTTTTGGAGAATATCAACAGGATTACATGAACTTCCCCCTCCCTGGAAGTGTTCAAGGCCAGGTCCTTTACTCCTTTGCAAATCAATGCAAAAATTTTGTGAGTATCATATGAGGAACAAACCCCTTTTCAGCTAGGTACACCTAAGTCATGCTCTTCCACAGTACAACATTGAATTTAGGCTCAGCTTTTGGAGAATATCAACAGGATTACATGAACTTCCCCCTCCCTGGAAGTGTTCAAGGCCAGGGTGGATGGAGCGCGGAGCAACCTGGTCTAGTGGAAGGTGTCCCTGCCCATGGCAGGGGGGTTGGAATTAGACGATCTTCAAGGTCCCTTCCAACCCAAACCATTCTATGATTCTATACTGCCTTGCCATGAGAATCCAGGATTTATGCCTCCCTTTCATTTTTAATTAACCGTTCTTCTCCTGAGAAGCCAGCAGACTCTCAGAACTTTGCTGCACGCGTTCAAAGCCCGCCTCCAAAGACAGAAGGGAAAAGTGTCTCAAATCACAATGTCTGTTGAGCCGACAGTACGTGCTGGGTTTTCTACTTACTACATGAACAAACTCTTCAAAGCCCCTGCAAACGTAGAACTCCGCAATGCATTAATCCCTAGCTTTCTTCTCACACACCTTTCCCTTTTTGGCCTCTCCCAGCAATGCAGCAGAGAGCAGCTCCGGGAGGCAAGCTGGCATGAGCAGGGGACATGACCAGCAGTGGCATACAGGAAAATGGCCAGACCATGGATGAAGGGACAATGGAAAGACTCCACACTAAGGGCATGCAGGAGCAGCAAGAGCATATGGCTGCAGGGAGCTCTGGGGTTCGGTCTCCCTGGGACAAGATACCATCACACCATGCCAGGCAGCTGCAAGGTGGCATCTCCGCTCAGCGGCTCCCTGCAGCCCTCCGCTCTGCCTGCCCGTCTCCTTCCCTGGCTCTCGTCCCAACCCCTGGCCCTGGCTCTGCTCCTGAGCACTCTGCCCTGCTCCTCAGCTTCACCCCGCAGCTGGTCCCCAGGCCCTCCTCCTCCTCCTCCTCAGTCCCTTCCTCCCAGCCTGCATTCACTCAGTTTCCAGCCTCCTAGTTGCATCTGCCTTCTCCAGGTTTTTCTCCTCGGTGTGGTGCTCTTTTCCTCCTCCCCCCCACCGGTGATCCGGCAGGCTTCCACCGTCCGATGGCCGCAGACACGTGTCCTGGAGGGCATCGTAGCCGAGGGTCAGGGGGGAGAGCAGAGCACCAGCCTGAGAGAGCCGGACTCACCAACAGTAACCACAGTGAAAAGGCAGCACATTTTACCCTGATTTTCTCCCCATCCATATTTAAAATCGACTGCCGAGGACTGCTGAACAGCAGGCACGCAGTACACTGATCCTCTTCCCACAAAACAAGTGCACTTCTTTCTCATCTTTCAGGGTGTTTTTGGGCACAAAAAGGAAAATGTCACTTCTGCAACGAAAGGGACAGCACAAATGCCAGCCCGTCCAGCCCTCCGAGGAAGAAGGCTGCCCGGCTGAGTGAGGCCCGGAGCAGGGCTCTGGCACTCCGCGAGCCTGCTCCCGTCTCTTTGCGCTTTGTGCCCCTGCTCCTGCAGCCTCCAGCGCCGCAGATGGCAACGCTCTCCTACGCCGGCGCTCACAGACAAGTATTCTGTGGCTGTATTTAGCGAAGCCGCGCTGTACTGTAAGTTCATTCGACTCTGCTCACCACAACTGCTACTGTTTGCATTACACCCTCCATTTTCTTTGAAAATTTGCTGTGTTTTCGCTCTTTCCTTCCACGGCGTTCGATTCCTGCCTCTTGCGAAGACGACGGGGCCGAGCCGGGGGAGGTGGGTCAGAGCAGCGCGGTGGTAGCACACACGCTCGCCACGAGGCAGGAGGGAACTCCAGGTGGCAGAGAGCCTCTCGGGATGCTCCG